GAAAAAAGAAAAGAAAAGGAAGAAGAGGAATGTATTTGTTACCTGCTACTTTTTATTAAAGGAGATTCTATTTTCAGTAACATTCATTTTTTTATTGTTGAATTTATCTGTGGCTGATTGGATGGTATTTAATATCTCAAGGCTAAGTACATGTGAGCGTTTCTACTCATTTCCTTAAAATAAATTAGTAATGACTTCAGATTTTCAGAGTGAAGTTTTGAACTATGCTTATTGGATTATATATGAAATGAAATTGGATAAAAAATGAAGAGGTACTAATCATTTTTCTTAACCTAAATTATGCATGAAAGTTGAATGTTATTCGCTAGTGAGGAATGAACAGTTTTATACTAGTGATAAGGTCTTTAAAATTTATGTCTGCAAAAACTTTAAAGGTTTGTGTATGTTTAAAGGTTTGGGCCATCTATTACAAAAAATAATTTGAATTTTGAATTCTAAAAGAAACTGAAATATGGAAAGAATTGATAATTAAAAAGAGCTGCATTGTTATTGTTATTGGCATCAATGGTGCCAGAAAAATTGCATCAGTGGTGATTCTATCCTAGCACGATCGCTGGTGGTTGAATGTAGAGCATTTATGTAGTGCCTTTGCTAGAGAAATTTGGTGGCTCCAAAAGGATCCCTAGTAAGTGCTTCTAGAAAAAGCACCCATTTGGCATTTTGCTATTTGCTGGGTCTTGCCACTGCCCATTTAAAGTGCTGGAGCTAAAGTGCCATATTAGTGCTTCTAATTTGTTGCTCCTTTTTCTGCTCCACCAGTGTCAAAAGACATAGAACGGCTAAATCTTTTTTCTTATTTTCACTGGCATATTTCAATTTGTATTTCATAGAAATGAAGGGCTTATTGGAATACTTTCTATGATTTTCCATGGCTTTAACTGGTTTTTCCATCTATGAATGGAAAAATTTCAAGAAAACAAATTCATAATTCAAGTGCTCAAGTGGAAACAATAATTCAATAGGGTATTATTGTAATTTTGCACCAAGTATACGGCTTATTGGGTTTTAGGAAAATACTCCTTAACTATCGGTTGCCTGCGCAAACATAGATATACTTCTTTCTGGGAAGAAATCACATTGTGTGAGCATCCACAGGGATAGATATACTTTTCTCTTCATGGTTGATTTTTTATATTTATGTGGTGATAGAGCTTTGTTGCAGGTAGAGCATGTGTTAGTTGATCGGGTAATGCACTTTATGAACGTAGATTTGCAAGATGTGAAGGTAAAACTAATAAAGCTATTATGATACTCAAGTTCTTTAAAATTGCTGGTTTTGATATGGTCTTTGCTTACTTGTTTAGGTATGAATTTTTTAAACCGTGAACAAATTTAACTATGACATTTCTAACTTTTGTTTTATTCATGCTTGGGCGACTTAGTTTGCCTAATTGCTAATTTCTACTTTATTATTAATCATCTAATTGTTCCTCAATAATTACCATCATTATTCTTTTTGTAACTCTTATTTTTGTACATTTGTTGTATATTTAAGGAATTATATAGCCCATTGCAAATTTTCTAATATTTATTAAAACCCTTAGCATTTGCACCAATATTATCTTTATGGGAAAGAATTATGGAATTGGAAAATGCTGGTTGGCTGAGATTAATACTTATTGTTACTGTTGTAAAATTTTACTTAGAATTTTGAAGTGCGGTTGCCGGTGCGAGCTCCTCTCTTAGGATCTTCCTTGCAGATCTTCAAGTTCCAGTGCTGTCCATTTTATAAGCATGATTGTAGTCTTTATTGAAGAACTCAATGTGCTTTATAAGTTTTTTTTTTTGTTTTCCTCATAAATCAGATCTGGATTCTTAGCCTTTTTAATTTTGCTTCAAGCTCCTTCATTGCTACAAGATCTAACTCTTTGAAGAAAGGAACTTTAAAAATCATTTTTTCCTTTATAATGTTTGTAGTGTTACTACCAGGTCAATAGAGCTAAGTCCTTTAAATATATATTTATTTTCTAATTTGCTTCTTGTTTGTTTTGTTGCTTTCATGGCCTCTCATGTTCTCCTTTATCTTTGCAGGAGTCCCGCCAACGGTTTAACCAATCTATGGCTGCTTATGATCAGGTATTAAGGACCACGTAAATTGTTCAATGGCATAAAGTTAATTGTTTGATTTGAAATTGAATACTGACCATGTGATTAACTGAGGTTACAACTCTAACTTCAGTTATGTATCCATTGAAGAATCTGTCATAAGTCATCTTTCTTGTGTTATTTTAATCATGGTGTTTTTGTAATTTTAAGTATTCTTTTACAAACTTTAATAAATTGACAACTTAATCAAATGCAAACCAAAATCCAAATTGAGGAAACAATATAAAGAGTGGAATATAAAGAAAGTATAGAAGAAAATTAAATACATCATCTATGATTTTTGAAGGGTCAACTATGGTTATATCCTCCTAGGTTTTCTTCTTGCTTGAGACAACATTAATTAACTTTAAAGCTACTTCTTGCTTCTTGGTGCCAAAGAATTCGTTTACAAGTTCAAACTAAACTCTCCCTCTAAGAAAAGGTTGATCAATGTTTAAGAAAAATAAGAAAATATTCAAAGAACTTAATAATTTTACGTTTGAATCCCTTTATGTGAAGGTGAAGTTTATCTTGAAAAGCTTCAGCTTGGAAATCTTAATCTTTATATCTTCTGGAAGGCTCTTTCAACCTTGGAAATTATCACGTCTCCAAGAAATGCAATCACATTAGTCAACAGCTCTTAAAATAGCTCCAACTACTGCCAGCAATATTGCAAAATGCCTAGGTGGTAGCTAGGAGTTGGGCCACCTTTGGGCAAGCCTAGGCATTTTTTTTCTTTTTTTTTTTTT